ATATATATATATATATATATATATATATATATATATATATATATATATATATATATATATATATATATATATCTGTCCGATTTCAGGTTTATTGTACACCAAATGGCCCAAATATATATATATATATATATATATATATATATATATATAGGAGCTATATCCAAATCTGAACCGATCTTGATAAAATTTTAAATACTTATTTCTGATATCTAGTATCAAAGATCATTGTTGTGGAGCATGCGAGAGATTTAAAACTGATATCGGATGAAATATATAAATGGAAGCTACAGCTATATCTGAACCGATTTTCACCAAATTTGCTATACTTGCTTTTAGACTGAATTCGGTCGGATAAGTCAAAATTCAGACAATTTAATATAATATTGTGGTGTACCAAGTCTGAAGGGAATCGGATGTTTATTTCGCGTTTTATGATCTTCATGGATATTCAAAATTTTGGCCCTTTGTGGAGGAGGTACCAAAAGGGGTGGACCAAGATATTCCATCTTCACACAGCAAATCTTGTGCAAGTAGAACAAATGGAATGTGGGAGAAATTAGAAGAGAACCGGATGATTATTTCGGATTTTACAATCATTTTGATTATTCAGAACCCTTTGTCGGGGAGGTACCTGAACAAATGGTCCGATATCTACCATTTTTATAACAGATCTTATGTTGATGGAAATATTGAGATGCGCAAAGTATTAATGAAATCGGATATTAATTTCGCTTTATATGAGCTTCGTGGATATTCACAATTTTGACCCTATGTGGGGAAGAAGCCAGAAGGAGTGGACCGATATATTCCATCTTCACACCAGACTTTGGGTCAATAAAAAAATTGTGCTTTGTGTAATTTGATGACAATCGGGCACATACATCACATTTTATAAGAGTCACAGTTATTCGAAATTTTGACCCTTTGTGGGGGAGGTACTTGATGGAGTGGACCGATATTGTCCATTTTGGCACCTGACCTAGCACTCATGCAGATATTAGGATTTGCAAAGTTGGGACAAAATCGGATTATCTTTTCTCTTTCTGTGCAGTAAATTATTTTTTTTTTTATTGTGGGAGAGGCACCAGAAGGAGTGAACCGATATTGGCCATCTCCGAACTCGATCTAAGTTTGACGATAATATTACGATGTACGAAGTTTTGATCAAATCGGATACTCCCTTCGAGAGTTATCGTGCGCACCTGCCAAACAGACAGACAGATGGACGGACATCGCAAGATCGACTCCAAATGTTCTGAAACGGATTTGGTCCAAAGCGCCGTAGGGTCTAAAACCGTTATTGCGATGAGATTCGTTTTGGCTGTATCAAGCCATGTGGTTGAGGGTATAAAAATACTCGTCATTTATTTTCTCCTTTTAATATTCTACGCTGAGTTCCCCAATTTTTTTAAACCTTTGAAAATTTTTAAAAATTGAAAAAAAATTAAAAATTGACATATCCACCAAACTGAATTCCCGATGGCCTTTCAGAAAAAATTCTTAAAAATGGTGCTGAAAGTCCCTCTTTGTTTATAGCGTGGGTGATTTTTATGTAAAAAGAAATGGGGGATTTAGCCGGAAAAATACACAGTGTGTCCTTTTATAGCGATGTATTTAGGTGTTTTCAAAATCCTCGGAAAATGTTCAAGACACAAAGGCCATGATTTGATATTTTGATATCTGAATTATTTTCCATTTTGAAAGACTGACCAAGTCTTTATACCCTACACCACAAGATAGTCAGGGTATTATGTCTTTGTACATTTGTTTGTAACAGGCAAAAGTAAACGAGATAGACCCATAGTTCCTTTTGATGATCGATTTATGCATGTCCCTCCATCTGTCCATGTACTTTTGTAAACAAAGTACAGGTCACATTTACTGCCTTATCAAGATGAAATATTGCACAAGTCATTTGTTTGACCCAAGGACGACCTATTGAAATTGGAGAAAATTGGGAGATAACTCCCATATATGCCTTCCGATTTGTATTTTATTACGCACCAATGATGTAATATTCGACCAAATGGGATGGAATTTGGCACTTACGACCAAATTGAGCCTAGAAAGAAGTATGTTCAATTTAAATCGGTTCAGATATAGCTATAGCTGCCATATACATTGTTCATCCGATTTGTTATATTTTTAATTTTTTATTTGTTATATTAAGCTCTACTAAATATGCATGGGTATCATAAAGTCGGTCCCGCCTGACTTTTAGACTTTATTTACGGATTTTGTATTCGTAATATATTAAAAATATCATGTATTATTACACGTAATAACCCATCGATAAGGCTCTTTATATTTTCCACTAGATTCCATTCCAAAAATTAACATTTTCCTTTACTGTATCAATTTGGAAAATTGAAAAATTTCTAAAAATAATATCCTCATTAAAAAGGACACGGCACAATCTAAACGACGAAACATGATAATGAAACTTATCAACCAATTTTTATTAAATTATGGTCATGTGTGTTTAAAACATTTGATATTTTCGAAAAAAATAATTAAAGCAATTGTTGTTGTTTCTCTCATCTCAAATCTCATCACATCTGCTGCTCGAAATGTTATGGGTTGCCAGTTAGGGTTTCATCATATGATGACCTTCTCCAAATTCTATTTTGTGTAATATCACGCAGCAAACAAATTAAAAATTATATTAAATTTTCGGCGAATTACTTTTTTGTTGGTATGGATCATGTGTGTGTGTGTGAATGGTTGATAGGGTTGTCGATATGAAATTTACAACTATTTAAAATAAAAATTTAATTTTAGCATTTTCTTAAAATATTAAAAAAATATTATAGAACTTTTGTAAAATTTTGTAAACATTTGAAGGGTTTTGAATTCCTTTGATAAATTTAAAGATTTCCCAAATTTGCCTTGTCCAAATATCGAAAAAAATTGTGGATTTCTTATGAGGCTTTTTTATATATATGTTTTTTATATATATGTTGCCCAGAATTGCCTTTTAAAATAAAAAAGGTTGAATATATATTTTTCTGATTTTTAGTTATTTTATTCGACCTTTATTTTAAGTTATTCCAATGTAAGTTTAATAACCTCGAGCTCAATTTTATAAAATTTTTTTATTTTTTAATTTAAAAAATATAAAGAAAACAAATCTGGAAGTTATTTTTCCCATCATTTTAAAATTCCCCATCAACATCCCTAATACCTAGTCATCTACTAACTATTACCCTTCCCCGAAAATGACCATTGACTGGTTGGTTATTTGGCTGGTTATGTTACAAGTCGTTAAAACTACTACTACTACTGCTGGCTATTTGCGAAAAAATTACATTTTTAACGTTTTGTCGACGAGTCCTTGTGCGTCCTTGTTATTGCATGATTTTGTATTGGCATAAAATATCCTTTGTACAAACATGACAACACGCGCAGCAAACTAATAAACGTTTTTTCAGCTTTGGTTTCCTGTTCGGAAAAAAGTTTGCTCACCACAACACATCTCCAACAACGACAGGATATTGATAATGTTTTGTTTGAGTTTGAAGTTGGCGTTTGGTTTTCAATTTTTTACAATCACAACCAAACTTTTCAAAATATATTAACACAATTTTAATAGCTTCTCGAAAAAAAAATAAATAATAATAATAATCATGAATATTTCATCAGGAAAAAAATTAAAATCCACTCTTAGTTCCCTAGAAAAATCGTTAAAAAATTCCTTTAGAAAAAAAATAAAATATAACGATTAAAAAAAATTAGGTAGCTTTACAATATTTTTATGATTTTTGGGAAAGGCAAAAAATCTTAAAAATCCAAAAAAAAAAATCTATAAAAAAGAAATTTAAAATGCCCTCTTAGAACACTTGTAGACTATCGAAAAAGCCATAGAACGCCAATTGTTTTCAGAATAATATCTTAAAAATCCACAAAAAAACTTGAGTCCTCGCTTAGTTCGTCAGAAAAAAATTTCGTTCAAAAAAAAAAAAAAAAAAAAAAAAAACTAAAACAAAAACAAAAAAACTTGAAAATTCCACGCTTAATTCCTCCTGAAATCCATAAAAATCCAGGCTTAGCTCTTAGAAAAAAATCCGAAGACCCCTTTAGAAAAAAATCCTAAAAAATCCACTATTAGAGTTCTGATTGTCCCTCAGTGGAAAATGCTAAAAATTCACGCTAAAAACGCCGATAGCCCCTCAGATGAAAATCCTGAAAAATCCACGCTTAGAGCGCTGATAGTCTCTGCGAAAAAGTCCTAAAAAATCCACGCTTATAGTCCTGATAGACCCTTGGAGGGAAATCTTAAAAAAATCCACGCTTACAGTCCTGTTAGACCCTTAGAGGAAAATCCTAAAAAATTCACGCTAAGAACGCTGATATTCCTCAGAAGAAAATCCTGAAAAATCCACGTTTAGAGAGCTGATAGTCTCTGCGAAGAAGTCCTAAAAAATCCACGCTTATAGTCCTGATAGACCCTTGAAGGAAAATCCTAAAAATCCACGTTTAGAGCGCTGATCGTCCCTTCGCAGGGATTTTCCTTCAAGGGTCTATCAGGACTATAAGCGTGGATTTTTTAGGACTTCTTCGCAGAGACTATCAGCTCTCTAAACGTGGATGATTCCACGCTTACAGCGCTAATAATCCCTTAACAGAAAATCATAAAAATCCCCTCTTACAGCGCTAATAATCCCTTAGAAGAAAATCATAAAAATCAACGCTTATTCCCTGAGAAAAATTCCTAAAAAAAACCACGCTTATAGTCTTGATAGACCCTTTTAGGAAAATCCTGGAAAAATCCACGTTTAGAGCGCTAATAGTCCCTTAGAAGAAAATCATGAAAATCAACGATTATTCCCTGATAAAAAGTCCGCGTTTTGAGCACTGGTAGTCCCACAAAAACAAAAATCCTAAAAAATCCAGGTTAGTCTCCAGTAACAATTCTAAAAAATGGGTCCCTCAGGAACAATCGTGAAGAAATCCACTCTTACCTACAATTAATTAATTTTGTTTTTTTTATTTTTTTACAGAACCCGATGTCGGGATGCCGCAACACGAAGCTCAGCGGTATTTCACACAGCTCCTGTCCGGTGTCCAGTATCTGCATCAACGTGGCATTACACATCGTGATTTGAAACCGGAAAACCTTTTACTGGACGAACATGACAATATCAAGATATCCGATTTTGGAATGGCCACCATGTTTAGGTATTTAGGTACACTACAAATTATCACCTAAGAAGAAAATAGAAGAATTAAAAGTTAGAAAATATTTAAATACGAATATCAAAGGAGTAAGGGAAAAATATCGATTACGGCTGAAAAGAAAATATTGAATTGACACGGACAATTCAAAATATTTTCAATTTATGTTACAAATCACTAAACTTTTTCAATATTTTAAATAATCGATAACTCTGTTAATATTTATGGTTTTCATTTTATATTAAAATACGCAATATTTTTATGCACAATCTATATTCCCTTGCCGTAATCGATAGTTTCTCTTATCGTATATTTCAAATTGTTTTTCCTTTAAACAAATTTAATTAATTGTTTTTATTTCTCCTTTTTTAGATGCAAAGGCAAAGAGCGGTTGTTGGACAAACGCTGTGGCACCCTACCGTATGTGGCCCCTGAGGTCCTGCTAAAGCCCTATCATGCCCAGCCAGCAGATATTTGGTCGTGTGGCATTATCCTGGTTACAATGTTGGCTGGTGGTAAGTTTGTATGACTTCTTCGTTATCTTCTTCTCTTACTTGGCATTATCTTCATTAGCTGCTTGCTTGCGGCTCTCATCTTAACTTTTCAGTTTCCATTAATTTTCTTCATGTTTTCCTTCCTTACTTACTTGCACTTATCCGCACTACTGATGTTTTGTTGTTTCGGCTCGGTTGGATGTGGAAAACTAGTTGATTGGCTCACCACCACACCACACCAACTTGAGCAATCAACTTTCCAGCATGGCATTTAAAAAATAGAAGTGCGTCGTATCATCATTATCATCATTTTAACATCCATCGTTCTATGGAGAAAACTTCAAGTGTTGTGTTTTATTTCTTTGTCAAGTTTGTTTTTTTTTTTTTGGATTTCTAATTGTTTTTTTTTTTTGTTTTTGTGTATTTGTTTTCACAGAGTGGCTTATTTTAAGGAATTTTGTTTAACTTTGTTTTTCTAGGGACATAGTTTATGGCATTTTGAGGTTAAATGTTTAAATTTTAATTAAAATTTCATCGAGTACCAGAAATATTTGGAAAAATAGAATAATGGTTATAGAAGAGTTTAAGGATGTTTTAAGAAAACTTAGAAAACTTTTCTGAAAAAAAAATGTTTTTACCCAAAGGACTGAGGCAAATAATCGCGTCATTAAAAAGGCCAGATTAGAGACATTAGTAAGGTGGTATTTTCAACCATTATCTTAGCATTTTTATAGCATACTTGTAGGCGCCCACATTGATTTTCAAACTAAAAGGAAACTTCTAATTTTTATACCCTAGACCACATAGTGGTAAGGGTATTATGTCTTTATGCATTTGTTTGTAACATGGAGAAGGAAGCGTGATAGACCCATAGTTACTAATGAGGATCTCCATAGAATCACTTTCTGAGTCGTCTGGCCATGTATTTTTGTGAACAAAATGCAGATCGCGTTTATTATCCGATATAGATGAAATTTTTCAAACAATATTTATTTGGGAATGTATTTTGTTGACCAATGTTGAGATTATTCAATATGGGTTTTATTGGGCTTTTATGGTCAAGTTAATCAAATGAAAATAAACGAATTTATTTCATATTTTGCTCAACGTTTCGTTGGCTTGTTTCCAACTTTTTCAAGAGCGTTTTTTATTGAATTCTGTTTATAAATGAGAAACATATTTCATTATTAGAATTTTGTTTTGTGACATATTGCACTTTAAATTTAACTTACATCAATAATTATGCATTATTTATTTCTTATTAATATTAATAAAACGGGACTCCACAACATTTAATTAATATAAAGTAAAAATAAATAATCAATAAAATAAGAATCACAGTTAAACTTAAGCTAAATCACAGAACCGTTTCTAAATAATCGCAATAGAATACTGTAGTTTAGTATTATCTTTGTCTTCTTTGGTATTTATTGATCTGGCAATCCTTTGCTGTATTCGTAGGCTTTCCAATGTATATCTTTTGTTCTCCTTATTTTCCCTATCTAAAATTTTGACATTTGTTAGATCAGCTGTGTGGCCACTCTCCGTTGTGTGTTGTGACAGTGCTGTTTTTGCTAATCCTTTATTGATATCATTTTGATGTTCTCCTATTCTTACACCAAGCATTCTTTTTGTTGTGCCCACATAAACTTTCCCGCATTTCTCTTTCTCATTGCCTTTGCATGTAATTTCATATACAACGTTGTGTTGTTTTTGTTTGTCTTCTTTTGTTTTTGTGCGTTTGAAAATCTCTTGCATTGTTTGATTGGATTTGTGTGCTATCATTGTTGTTGTACTTTTAATTATTTGTTTGAGGTTTTTTGTTTCTGTTAAATTTGGCAGGTACGGTACACTCACAAAAATTTCCAAGGACAAGGTGAAGACCGATTCAAATTTAGATATAGCTCCCATAACCCACACAATTAACCCGAAATCGGTTAAATATATATATATATATATATATATATATATATATATATATATATATATATATATATATATATATATATGTATATATATATATATATATATATATATATATATATATATTTAAGCGATTTCGGGTTAAATGTGCTCCAAAAGACCAATATCAGCCCAAATGACCTGAATTTTGTCACATCCGACTGAATTCATCCTAGAAACAAATACTAAAAACTTGGTGAAAATTGGTTCAGATACAGCTATAGCTCCCATATATATGTTTCATCCGATTTGGGGTTTTAAGTTCCTCACGTTTGCAATATGCACCCCACAAGAATGATATTCGGTATCAGACAACTTATGGAGCTCAAAAATACCTCTGTCAAATTTAATCGAGGTCGGATCAAATATAGCTCCCATATATATTTAATTATCCGATAACAGGTTTATTGTGCACCAATAAACACCTCTTATTTTAATAATTTACTTTCCAAATCCAATTAAAATTTTGTTTAAATTATCTTTTATATTTATTGCATTAAAAAAAAGTCCTTCAAAAATAACATAGCACTTTGCATGTCTTCCACCATTTGTATACAAAATAAGATCTTACATCATAAATGTGTTATTGTAAAGAACTTAATATTAAACTACAAAGTACTGGCCAGAAAATCTATAAAAGTGCAATTTTTATTAATCTAAAAATATATCAACCCCCTTTTCCATCTCCATCTTCATATGCTGTTTTTGTGCCACATCTCTTTAACTTCCTCCATCAGTTTTAAAGATAGTTGCAACGATGTGTCTGTCTATAGTCTTCTTCTTCATTTATCTGTGCCGGAAGCACTTTTTTGGGTATTGCTACAAATAAAATATAAATAAATGTATGTGTGTATAATATTATGCCATGCTCTATTACATTTACACAAGTTGACAAACTTGAGGAAGCTTTAACGGGAAATGTATTTTTACGTTAAGCCAAAATATGAACGAAAATTTAAAGTAAATAGCATAATTAATTTAGCCCCTATTTACAATTTTATACTCTACGTCATAGCAATCGTCGATCTTTTTAAAATGTTTTATTAGTGTTTAAAACTTTAAAGTCAAAAATCTATTTTTTTTGGTATCGTTAATTTTCAAAAAATATACATATAAAGTAGGAATATATTTTTTACAAATATTTTTGAAACAACAAAAATATATATTCGAATAAGAAGAAAATTATATATTTTTTAAATAGGCTCAATACACACGGTTTTATAAACTTGTTTTCGCAGATTTTTTAGAAAATAAAGTCCTAAATGCCTTAAAGTACTAAAATAAAAAAAAAATACAAAAAAAAATTGTTTTTTTTTTTCAACTTAAGACCCAGAATCAACGTGGTCTATAGACGTCCTGAAAGCTGTCCCAATAGACGTCCTGGAAGGTGTCTCAATAGACGTCCTGAATGGGCTTAAGGGGTCATAATCGAAGGCCAAAGTCAGAAACGTATAATTTTTATAAAAGACACCAAAAGACCAGAATCTTGGATTCTTTAAATATAGATTTTTGAGATCGGAAACGGATATTTTCTTAAATTATTTTTTGAAGACTAGCATGATTTTTATACCCTACAACACTATATCTTGAAGGTATTATAAGTTTGATTGGACCAACAATTATGTAACACCTCCAAATATTGGTCTCCGTCATAGGAAACTATATATGGATCTTCCTATCTCGCCGAGCTGAGTCGATCTAGCTATGTATGTCCGTCTGTCCATGTTAATTTGTCCTAAAAATCTAAAATGTTCTAAAAATTACAAAAAATTGGCTTTTTTTTAAATTAGCTCCTGATAGACGTCCCTAAAAATGTTTTTATAGACATAATTAAATGTTTTTGGCGTACTGAATGGCGTTTCTATAGAAGTCCTGATCTTGGAAGGCGTCTCTAGAAATGCTTATATATAGACGTCCTTATAGGCGTCCTGAAAGACACCTTTGTAGATGTCTTTGGAAAATCTTTGGAACATTTTTAAAAGTCAGGAACGTATATTTTTCACAAATATTTGGTCCAAAGACTCCAAAACACCAGAATCTTACATTCTTTAAATGTACATTTTTGAATTCCTTAAGGCTCAAAAACGAAAATTTTCTAAAAATATATATTTTTTTAAATGTGGTGTCGAGTCCTGAATTTTTTAATAGATATTTTAATTTTTTTTTTAAGTAAATCTTTTTTTTTTTTTTTTTCAAAATAATTCGTAAATAAATCACCTATGTAAGCTGCTTTGATCAGTTTGTTCACGCATTTTTCGTTTCGCGGATCAGATGCAAAATGTTTATTCGAATTGCTCAACTTGAATAAACTTGTTATATCTCACTGGCTGACTTAGTTTGATTGTCTTTTTACTAAGTTTGATCCTACTCAATCATACTCATTGCAGCCCCCTGGTACTCACATGTATTATTTTTATAGTTAGAATTTATTCCTTAATAAGAGAACATAACTATTTATGTAGGAATATTTCCCTATATAAAGCTCTAGCATCTCGATAGGCTCTCGTATAGGGTTTCAGGTACAATTTCTATCCTCATAATCTGTAGTTTAGATTCATATTTTCGTAGTGGATGCCAAATTCCCCTACGATTTTAATACACGTCCCGTCTTGAAATTTACAGCGTTAGGAATTGAAACTGAAAATAAAATTAGTTTTTGAACGTCCTAAACACACTTTATATTTAGATTTGGAATATTAAAGGTTTGACCAAAATAAAATTGTAGTAATGATAGATTCTTGCAGGTTGTGTCAGACACATTTTCAGTCCATGCCGAAAAAAATTGTCCCCAGGGAGTGTTAAATTTGTGCATAGGGGTTCCCTGATCTCATTTGCGTAAAGATTGTTTAGTTTTGTGCTCTTAATATATTAAAATCAATGCCAACATAATTTTACAATTTTTAGTTTCAAAAATCGTTAAACTTGTGTTATTTTTATTTCAATACATTTTATATATATTATACTTATTATATGTTATCATTGTGTGTGTCACCATTGTCGTTCATCACTGTTATATGGCCAAATAAAAAAAAGAATCACTAGCTAAATCAAAGCAAAAAATATGACTTAAAAGAAAGTAATGCAAAAAAAAAAAAAAATAAATAAATAAATCACCATTAACATTTATGTTTTTTATAAATTATTGTTTGGTTCTATTCACAAAATCGTTCATTTTTGCTGTTTCTTTGGTATTCTAGCTGTAGATTTTCTTGTTTGGAAAATAATTTTTAAATATCATCTAAAGCTTTTATACCAAAGCTCCAGCTTAAATTGCTTGCCAACCACCACCAACTAAACTACTACTGCACCATCAAATGAAATTAAAAAAAAAATATTTAATAATAACAAAAATATCAATAAAATTGAAAATCTTAACCACCATGGACGTCATCACCCTTCTCACCCAGCAATTGCAATGCAATCAGCATCATAATATGATAATAATATTTTCAATAAGGGGTGTTATTTTGGTATTTAAAAAAATATAAATTCTTCAGATAAATTATTATATGTTAATTTTCATACCGGAGAAATAACACCTCTCGTTGCAAACCCCGCATATCACCGCTCATCAAATTATTAAAAAAAATGTATTTGTTATGGATTTTAAACTCATATAGTAATAATTGTTTTTTATTTTCAATTTAGAATTGCCGTGGGATGAACCCTCTGTCCAGTGCCAGGAGTTTATCAATTGGAAGGATAATGATCGTTGGTCCACCCAAACACCCTGGAGTAAATTGGATACATTAGCTATTTCCCTGCTGCGCAAAGTGCTGGCCACTAATCCCAGCCATCGTCTGACCCTGGACAAAATTATGGCCCACAAATGGTGTCACATGGAATTCGCCGATAATGGTAAGATATGTGGGAGGGAATTTTCAAAATTCTACTTTTTTAATTTAAAAGTGAAGTGTAAAATTATTGAAAAATTAATAACAATATTTGTGATGTGAAATATTTATTGTTGTAATAGAGGATTTTGAAGTTCTATATCGAAAACATGTATGGGATGTCCTATCGAAACTTGATTTTCTTTCATCTGATCGGAAAACTTTTGTTCAGGTACTTAGTGACTCTCAATGTTATTTTCCAAAAATCTGGGGTTCACTTTGTACCTTGCCTAACGTTTTCCCAGAACTCAAATTAAATTTGAAAATAATTGTGAAATCTTTTCATGAACGTGAGTAGAAACCAAATTCTCTACAGATATGCGCATCTTATCATAGCTTTGGCGCTTTAGCTGTATGATAGATTTGATACCTTCATAAAGCTAGATTACCAAAGCATTGAAAATGCGCTGAAACAGCCGGAAAAAAATAAAAAAAAAAACACACATTTGACAACGATTTGAAGGGAGCACTCTTGGGAGGATTCTTTACTTAAGGCTTCAAAGTCGTATGTGTAGGTGCCTTGAAAGACCTCTGAAAGAGGACGACTTGAAAGACATCTCTATAGACGTTCGGAAAGGCGTCCTATAGACGTGAGAGGCATGTGTATTGAGCTCCTAAAGGGAGTCCCTATAGGCGCCTTGAAAAGGGACTCTATAACTTCTCAACTATATACGCTTTAAAGGCGTCGCTATAGACGTCTGATAGGGTGTCTCTATAGACAACATAAAGGGCGTGTCTATATACGTCCTAAAGAGCATCTCTATAGACGACTTAAAAGGCGTCTTCATAGAAGTCCTGAAGATGTCTGAAGGCTGTCTCTATAGTCGTCCTGAAGGGCGTCTCTGTAGACGTTCTGAAAGGCATCTCTGTAGGCGTTCTTAAGGCGTCTCTATAGACGTCCTATGAAAGGCGTTTATATTGACGTCCTGAAAGGCGCTCTACAGACGTCTTGAAAGGCGTCTCTACAGACGTCTTGAAAGGCGTCTCTATAGACGTCTTGAAAGGCTTCTCTATGGACGTCTTGAAAGGCGTCCTATAGACGTCATGAAAGGCGTCTCTATAGACGACTTAAAAGGCGTCTCTATAGAAGTCCTGAAGATGTCTGAAGACTGTCTCTATAGACGTCCTTTGAAAGGCGTCTCTATAGACGTCCTGTGAAGGGCTTCTCTATAGACGTCCTGAGGGGCGTCTTTATAGACGTCCTGTGAAAGGCGTCTCTATAGATGTTCCGTGAAAGACGTCTCTATAGCAGTCCTAAGAAAGGTGTCCTATAGACATCCTGTGAAAGGCGTCTTTATAGACGTCTTGTGAAAGGCGTCTCTATAGACGTCCTGTGAAAGGCGTCTCTATAGACGTCCTGAAGGGCGTCTCTATAGACGTTCTGTGAAGGGCGTCTCTATAGACGTCCTGGAAAAGGCGTCTCTATGAAGGGCGTTTTCAAGATTTTTAATTTTAAATTCCAACTGTTTTAGTTTTGGTTTTTTTTATTAAATATTGTCTTGCATTTTATAATTTAGCTTTTGTGTGCCTGTGTTTTTGCTTTTTATTTTGAGTTTGCATGTTATTTGATCTTTGGTGATTTTAGCTGTATGGTGCGTTTCAGATTCCATAGAGCTTTATTACCAAAAACCAAATGATTTTTGCGTTTTATGTTCAGCAATTTTGTTTCGTTTTTTAAATTTTTTAAAAATAATCTCTCTTTCAAAAAGAACTACAATTTCGAAACTAACTTCCATCCACTTGTCTATCCTACAGATCGTGCTCGTGATTTGGTCGATTCCGCAGCAGCCTTAGAGATACGTTCACCCAAGGCCAAGAGGCCCCGGCAAATGTCAAGTAATCACAGTGGCAGTAACAATCTCGACGATTCCATATCACGCAACTATTGCTCACAACCCCTGCCAGTGTTCCGCAATGATTTTGAAGCTCCTGCTAATCCTCAAGAAGTTGATAACCTCCCCGCCGCAGCACGTGAACATCGTTTGGGTTTCTGTTTCTCACAACCAGCCATGTTGGATGATCTACTGCTATGCACCCAAATGAATCAAACTCAATCCGCATCACAGAATCTCTTCCAACGTTTGGTGCGACGCATGACACGATTCTTTGTTTCGACGCGACACGATGATACGCTCAAACGTTTGGTGGCCATCATCGAAAAGCTGGGCTATACCTATAAAATTTGTGAAGATAATCTGGTTGTGACCATCAGTACGATTGATAAGTCGAAATTGAATTTAGTATTTAAGGCTCATCTCATTGAAATGGATGGTAAAATCCTGTTAGATTTCCGTCTCTCGAAGGGTTGTGGTTTGGAATTTAAACGGCGTTTCATACGAATCAAACAGCTTATGGAGGATATTGTGCAAAAGGGTCCAGTGACATGGCCCATAGCCATTGCAACGAATTGTGTGCCCTAGATGAGGGAAGGAGAAAAATAAGGTTTTTTTTTCGTTTTATGCTAAGAAGAATGTAATGTCTAGATTTAAACGTTTTTTTGTTTTCTCTCTTTTCTATTAATTTTTAAAGAAAATTTTGTATTCATATATTCTATATTTCCTTAAAGTCTGTCTTAAATAGGAGGTTCAGAGAAAATTACTTGCAGAGTGGACTACGATTTATGATAATTTTTAAGTGACTGTCAACTAATAAAGTTTAAAATATGGACTTTATAGACGTCAAGGAAGTCATATTTACAGGATCCCAATAACTTTCCAAAAGATCCCGAAGAGAGTTCCGAAAGTTGTTTCGACCTGATCGCTGAAGTCGGTCATGAGGTTTTATTTAATAGGCACCAAAAAATTGTCTATTCAGAAAGGTGTCCTTAGATCAGAAGAGCGTCTTTATAGATTTTCAAAATGGCATATTTTAAAAAGACCTCAATGGTATCTTTATAAGTAACTTGAAAGAAGTATTTTCAGAAGGGAAAATAGGAGCCTTCACAGGGCTGTAATATTATTTTCGAAAAACAAGAATGTGAAAGAAAAAGAAAAAAAATCTATGTCTGTTTCCCATTTTTTAAAATCACATAGAAGTGACGCTAAAGAAAGTCGTCTTTACAGGATCCCAATGACTTTGCAAACTCCCAGAAGAGAGCTCCGAAAGTTATTTCGACTTGATCACTGAAGTCGGCCATGAAGTTTTATTTAACATCCACCAAAAAAATTCTATTCAGAAAGGTGTCCTTAGAGCCGATCAGAAAAGCGTCTTTATAGACTATCAAAATGGCATTTTTTAAAAAGACCTCAATGGTATCTTTGTAAGCAACTTGAAAGAAGTATTTTCAGAAGGGAGAAGAGGAGTCTTTACAGAAAACATCTGAGGGATGTTGAAGGGGCTGTAATATTATTTTCGAAAAATAAGAATGTGAAAGGAAAAGAAAAAAATTCTATGTTTGTTTCCCATTTTTTTAAATCGCATAGAAGTGACGCTGAAGAAGGTCGTCTTTACAGGATCCCAAATAACTTTACGAACATCCCGAAGAGAGCTCCGAAAGTTATTTCGCCTTGATCACTGAAGTCGGCCATGAAGTTTTATTTAACATCCACCAAAAACAATTTTATTCAGAAAGGTATCCTTAGAGACGATCAGAAGAGTGTCTTTATAGACAATCAAAATTACATATTTTAAAAAGACCTCCATGGTATCTTTATGAGCAACTTGAAAAAAGTATTTTCAGAAGGAAGAAGAGGAGTCTTTAAAGAAAACGTCTGAGGAAAGTTTAAGGGGCTGTAATATTCTTTTCGAAAAGCAAGAATGTGAAAGAAATAGAAAAAAAATCTATGTTTTTTTTTTTTTTCCAATTTTTTTAAATCACATAGAAGTGACACTAAAGAAAGTCGTCTTTACAGGGTCCCAATGACTTTGCAAACACCCAGAAGAGAGCTCCGAAAGTTATTTCGACTTGATCACTGAAGTCGGCCATGAAGTTTTATTTAACATCCACCAAAAAAATTCTATTCAGAAAGGTGTCCTTAGAGCCGATCAGAAAAGCGTCTTTATAGACTATCAAAAAAGCATATTTTAAAAAGACCTCAATGGTATCTTTATAAGCAACTTGAAAGAAGTGTTTTCAGAATGGAGAAGAGGAGTCTTTACAGAAAACCTCTGAGGGAAGTTTAAGGGGCTCTAATATTATTTTCGAAAAACAAGAATGCGAAAGAAAAAGAAAAAAATCTATGTCTGTTTCCAATTTTGTTAAATCAGATAGAAGTGATGCTTTTTTTCCCTTTATTTTCGGTTTATAGACGACCAGAAGAAGTCTTGTAGACCAACAGATGGAGTCTACATAGACCAACAAGAAATCCTGAAACATATGCGAAGGGTGTCTTTGTATACAACTAGAGCTAGGGAGTTTTTAGGCGAATTATAATAGGAGTTTTAGACCAAAAAAGATGGCCAACGATTATTTGAACAGAAGCTTAATATTTTTTATAAACGACTGATACCAAAAGAAAGTCTTGAGGCACGATCCTTAAAAAAAAAGAAAATCAAAAAAGTCTAAATATGCATAAAATATGTCGTCCAGAATTTTTTTAGACAAAAAAAAGATGGCCAACGATTATTTGAACAGAAGCTCAACATTTTTTATAAACGACTGATACCAAAAGAAAGTTTTTGAGGCACGATCCTTAAACAAAAAGAAAATCAAAAAAGTCTAAATATGCATAAAATATGTCGTCCAGAATCATCTTTGTAAAATTATTTGTGATTGACAGGGTGCAAGTCGAGTTCAAAGGAGCCAGTCAAGAATATTACATGCATAGACGATTAGAAATCGAGAACTTATCTTTACGATGGATCAATTAGTTGTCCGATAGTCCACTCTTGAAGTAATTTGTTTTTAATTCTGTAAACCCCGTTTTATTTATTCATCATTGTTCTGAAATAGATTTAGGTTATAGTCTACTGTCTTTCACAATGCTTCAATGTTATTCTTTGTGGTTTTCATTTTATATTTCTATTATTTATTGATTGGTTTAATGTCACAACCAATTGGTTCTGCTTGAATATAAGAGACAATTATTTGTTAGCTTCAAATGCGAATATTGCCGTATAATTCTCTCCTATATTATATTATGTAATGTTGATTAAGGGCAATTTCTTATAACCGATAAATTCTTTACTTATATTTCCTTTAATATTTATGTCCTTTGCCCCTAAATGTATCTGAACTACAGAAATGCCTTAAATGTAGACTCGTTGTTTTTTTGTCGTGTACGAATCTTATTTATATAGTGAACTGTGAACAAATAAAAAATGTATTTTTTTATAAATAAATAAAGCTATACCATTTTATTATTTATAAACAATTGTTAGGTGGAGGTAAGTCGTTCACTTAGAATAGAAGTGCAATCAACGTAATTTTATTTATTTAATAATTTTATGTACTAATTCATTTTATCATCCTGTTTGTAAATCCTCAAAATATTCTTCGAAAACCCAATAATGTATATATTTTGATTTACGTAGACATTTTTGTTATTTGTCTCTGGGACCAGCAATTGAAATCCCAAAAGTGTTTTAAATATTTAAGCTATAGCTTTACAGACATTTAAATTACAAATAGGATGTTAGGTATTAGAGCGGGATATAGCTGTACATGTTTTCGAATAATCCCCACATATCGTTATGAGAAAGACTACTACTATAAGCCTAGATTAAAATAAGGGTTTCCTATCTTTGTTCTGCAATTAATGTGGGTAAATTTTAGATCTTCTGAGGACTAAATATATTTTCAAACGAAAGGGCTATCACCACATTTTAGGATATCAAGAAGGGGTAGATTTTCCTCTTGCAATACCTTCTCACATTTTTTTTACAAATTTCCCAGAGAAATTATGGTGTAAGATAGGGAGCCAATAGTAATTTTTTTTTAAATTTTTGGAGAAAGGTCCAAAATTATTTATCGTTTGAACGCTTGCTCTAACAGTCACAAAAGAATAGGTTTGTTAAAAAATGGAAGAAAATAGGACATTTATTTCCCACAATTATACAATTGCTACGACGGTCCGATATGTTACCACTTTCAATCAGCAGGCCAAAATCGTGAGGTCGTGGAACGTGATAAAAATCGAAAGATAATGCCATTTCAATCAGGCATGTCACAGAAGTTTTACGAAATCGATTTATTTCACCTTTTCCAAATCGTTACGATTTGATTTTGCTTCTTCAGCACTCGTACGTTTTGACTAATCCGGAAAAAAAATCATTTCACATTTTTGAAATAAAAATATGGTAACTCCATGAAAAAAAAAAGTCGTAAACAAATTATTGACAATTAAAAAAGGAGTTTAAATAGTTTTTTATAATATAAACACCAAAAGTAAAAATGCCTGGAGCTTCAATACTTGCTGTAATGGATGAAGAAATAAATCAGCGGTCTACTGAAAAAATTCGTCCCCGGACATTGAGGAACGCATCAGATCCTTTATCTCACTCAAATGCAGAGTAAGGATCCACCATTTTTAGTCCATTGTGTAAAATAATGTAAAGTTAAGAACGAGTCGTATTTGCTTTTTCCTGTTCTACAGCATATTTAAGAGTTTCAAGTTCAACTATTTTGAGTTTCATTTCGTTCCGTTCACGCATTCTCTTTTGCATTTCAATATTATGTAACTGCTCTTCCACATACTTTTTTTCCAGGATGTTACAAAGTCTGTCCAACTTTTCAGTTTGTTTTTTCATTTCCTTACTGTTATCTTCTAGAATTTTACAAATTTTTTCCAAGTTTTGTAAATGAGAATTTTCCTCAACTAAAAGCGCATTTAGATCTTGCTTTGAGGGAGTTCTTGCCCGGGGTCTTTTTACTGCAGGCGTGGGTTTTGCTTTTGTTAGGCTGCCCGACACTTGTCTTATTGGTGTAGATGGCGGAGAACACGATAAGCTTTTATTTCTAAGTCGTTTTTGAATAGGTGTTCGCGAACGGTTTTCTTCCAATGTTGGTGTTCTTGGATCAATTGCCAATGTAGAAACATTTTTAAAAGCAGCTGGAATGCATGATCTTGGTCTATCTTTTTTATTTAAAATCGAAGTGGTCTGCTTTGAAGTTGAGGGTGAAAAATTAAGCTCTTCGTTTTCAGATTCACTTAAAACTAATTGACTTGATTTTCGAGTTCTTGGAATATGTGTAGATGATGACGAATCAAAGTTTTCTTTTTCAGAACAACTAAGGTCTAATTCACTTACAAAATCCGCAAAGCTTACTGCACCACCAACTCCATCGACACTTTTATACAATCCGCAAATTCTGATTAAACTGTTCTCGTGTTCACTGAAAACATATTGATTGATATCACCACCACCAGTTCCTCCCAAGTCCTTTTTATTATTTTTCATCATGGATTAGAAAAATAATAAATTTTTTGTAAAATAAATTCCAAAAACATGTTCATTCTAAGAGAATTTGGTTAATACAATATTTTCTGTTAAATGTATGAGTCTTCTGTTTATTTTTTACATTAAAATCACTAAACATTTCAATTTCACCCTGCTTTTTGAAAGTGATATCAAAACGCAAAATTTTTGCGTTTTCCGTTTTTTAGAGAAGCTAAAACCGTTTTCGTTTTCACTCTTGAACGATTTTACATTCTGTGACATGCCTGAATGAATGGGGTTAAGGGAGTTATACTTACTCCGAACGTTGGTTCACCTTTTGAGGGAAGCGTACAAGTATAAGTGGACTAATGTTGTCTATTATTCCATCCCCCAGTATAACATTTGTATTAATTCAAAATTTCCAACTTTTCTAGGGGAAGGTAACAGAAGGAGTGGACCGATATTGCCCATCTCTAAATCTAATATAATTTTTGTAAAAAATATTGAGATATACCAAGTTTGGAACAAATTGTATAATCACTGTACGGTCGACTGCCAATGTTCTGAGACGGATTTCGTCCGAAGATACCTGTTGTACCTCTAACTTATTTTTTGAGTTACCGACAAAAATCGTTGACGATGAGGCACTTTTCAGTCGTATCAAATGATATTTTAAATTAACATTTGTAGGCATAATACCTTACAAATCTTAAAATCTTATGAAAATACCAGGCGCCCGCAAAGATTGAGATTATTTTAATAAACTTGAATTCGATTATGTTGCTATTATAATAATAGGCATTCAGAAAAATATGGATGTTGGCAAAGTGTTTTTTATGTGTTCGTTATGCTTTTAGGGGTCTCAATCAGTGTTGCCAATTTTTGACATCGTAAAAAGCGTCATAATTGTATGAAACAATATTTTCAGTTTTCGATTTTTTGAGCGACGGCTCGATTTTTTGAGCCACGAATTGCTAGGAGTTCAGAAATTAAATCGAATTTCCTTTAACTTTCTGTACGCCAGGTAGGCATAAATAAGGCCCAAAAAATCATACAATTTTATAAATATACCAGGAGCCCAGAATTAGCAAAAGATTGATTGTTCATTGACGATAATTTGAATAAAAAATGTATAGATGGCATTTGACTTTTTTGCTATTATAATAGGCATTCAGAAAAATATGAATATTGCCAAAATGTTTGTATGTGTTTGTTATGCTCTTTGGGAGCCTAAAACAGTGTTGCCAATATTTTGTTTTGTAAGATCGTAATAATTGGAGTGAAAAATATTCTTAGTTACTTACTTACTGATTTTCGATTTTTTGAGTCACACTCATGGTTTGTTTATGAAATATTTGTGAATATTACCAGGCGCCCAAAATAAATCTTTTGTTCTTAAAAAAACATTTGATTCGTCCATTTTCCACTCACCTCGCACAAGCATTGCTCGGAGCCCAAGTCAATTGTAGTTCAAGTCAATTGCGGTGCTTAGTTGCAAATCAAATCTCCTTTAAAATTCTGCACGCCTGGTGCTCTTAAAGTCTAATTTGGAGAATTTGACAAAAATCCTTGTTAACGTTGAGGCACTTTGGGTCATATCAAATAATATTTAACCCTTTGTAGGCAGGCAGACCTAAAAGATCTTAAAATCTTATAAATATAACAGGCGTCCAGAATTAGCAAAAGACAATTTCTTTACACTTCCCGCAAACATTGATTGAGATTTTTTAAATAAACTTGAATTTGATTATGTTGCCATTATAATAATAGGCATTCAGAAAAATATGGATGTTGGCAGTGTTTTTATGTGTTTGTTATGGTTTTAGGGGTCTCAATCAGTGTTGCCAAGATTTGAATTCGTAAAAAGCGTAATAATTTTGTATTAAAAAATATATTCAGTTTTCGATTTTTGTGCCATGGGTTGTTTAATGAATATTTATCAATAAAAATTTTCAAATACTGATTGATTTTTGAGTGACAAACAAAAATCGTTAGCGATGAGGCACTTTTGGTCGTATTAAATTATATTTATTTAACCCTTTGTAGGCATAAGGCCCAAAAAATCATAAGATCTTATCAAAACATCCGGCGCCCAGAATTAGCAAAAAGCTATTTTTACACTTCCCACAAACATTGATTGATTGGTTGATACATACATATCCTCATTCTTTCCTCTCTTACTGTTTTAAAAGTGAATTCGTTAGTCCGTCCTGTATTAGGAACGCAGGATTGCGAGTAAGAGGCTTATTTGTTGTTATTACTATTTTGAAAATTCTGTGACCCTGTTCCACCATCGGCACACTTGGTTGTTTGTTTTGTTTGGTGATCAGAATTAATGAATGGTATTAAGAATTTATTTATTCATTCATTGTAGCAACTGTCTGGCAGTTGTGTATTCCTGTTACGTTACAAAAAAAATCGGATCCGATTTGGTGGTACACGAACGACTTCTTCTCCATATTTTGGACGGTTTTTCTTTTTAAATCTAAAAACGTAATAGGGATACAGAATAAGTTAGAAAGTTTTTTTTGGTTTTAGAAAGTTGAAACTTGGCCAATTTCCAGATAACGCCACAACAAAATAGATATGTTTTTACACCAAATTATTCCTAGTGAAAACTGGAAGTGAAATACCAGGGTCGCAGAAAAAAGCAAATGGTATAAAGGTGTACTTGTTTCTTCACTTGACTTTTTCTGTGTATCATTTTCAATCTTTCTTTATTATGATCACCTAGCCGTTACGGCTAAGATCGGCACCAGAAGAAACAACGACACCTGTGCTACTCATATTGATCTTTCATGACTTTTTGATGTATGTATGTATCCTTCATCTCCATCCATCCCTCTACTAATTTATTTGTTAAACCCCTTTTGTAACAGGAGTACAGCATTGTGAATTAGAAGCTTCTTAGGTTTAGTACATTGTAAGTTCTGTGGCCCTATTACATTGATGTTGTATCTATCACTTGCTCGCTTTGTTGTAAATGCTGTTTGTGTTCCCTCAAAACGGCCATTTTCATTAATTTTTGGAAATTATTTAAGAAATCTAAATACCTAATAGAGGGACAAAAAATAATTAAGATTTACTGACATTAAACAAATTAAACTAAACCTCTCTCTAATAATTTATATTCGCATTGAGAAATTCAGGCGAATTACTAGGTCAGCAGAATGAGGAAAATGCCAATTTACAACTGCTTACTTGTTCATTAGAATTTTTCTGTGCTCCTGATAATTTTTAATTATCTCCTCATTACAGGTACCTAGTCTATGGGGCTAACACATTGGTACCACAAGAAACAACAACACTTACTTTACCAAGTATGTTTTTATATATCATACTGAGTTATAGATTAAGCCACCACTGTCATAGGTTCGCAAGATTGTATGAGAAGATTTTTAGGGTTTATACCCATTTCTAAAATTCTGTATGCCTATTACATTGAAGTTTACTCCGTCGTTGTTTCGTTAACCCTTTCAGTGTCAATGAAAATTTTTGTCGAGATAAAAATCTGAAATTCCGTACTAATTTACTAAAATGTGCTCAGAAATTCGAAAACGAAACTAATAGAATAGAACTGCAATATTTTTAAATAGCGAACGTGTCTGTTATTAAAAAATATCAAAAATAACGGTTCGTAAGAAAAACAAAAAATGGCAAAGAAAGAGAGTACTTTTAAATGTCAAATATATTTGACAAAAACACTGAAAGGGTTAATAAATAAAATAGCTGGGCTCCTTCCTTCCTTTCTCTCAAACTGTAATTTTTTAACTGATTTTGTAAGTTTGTTGCTTTTGGCGTAAAATACGAATTAGGCGCACTGATTGAAATTAAATCTTTCCTATTTTTAATTTACTGGCTAATTTACTTCCGCTGCCTACAACAATTATGTAAGCAGTCTTAGCGCACTATTATTAGGTGTAAAGGATTATTGAATGGTGTTCTGTTTATTGTGATGTATTTTGTAATTCGCTACGCCTATTACATATAATAGCGGCTATATTGCTGTAATAAGTAAGTAACATCATACGATATTCGTTATCTATCTTAATATACTTACCACCTACCTATCTGCACATCAAAAATGTCAGATCGGCCAACGACGAATTCAAAAATTGAACAGGAGAACAGAAGTAGTAAGAAGTAATTAGCAATTTAACAAGTTAACATTCCTGTGATCAATTGCGATTGGCCTATCTATGACAGTGATGCGTGCTCACACACACATACCATCACAACAAAATTGCATTTGCGTACGTATGTATGTGTAATTTCATAACAACCAATGAAACATCAGTGGAATGAAAATGTTTGCTTTTGCACTGTACGCGTTAGAAAGAAACAAATGCAAAAATAACACAGGCGTCGCCCAATGAAAGACTTACTGTCTTTGCAAATTTTAGAATAAGTTTAGATTTGTTCGAATTAGTCACATTTGGCACTAACTGTGACCTTCAAACGGCCAATAAAACTGTCCCACGCTGCCCGAATGTTGCTCTGCGGTATTTTGGCACATTCTCGGTGAAGCGCTTGCTTGAGGTAATCGACACTTTGGTATTTTTTAGTGCCAACCTTGCTTTACAAAGTACTCCAGACACAATAGTCCAACGGATTAATATTGGTGGCCATTGTGCGCTGGAAATGAAGCGAGGGACCTCATTTTGTAAGCATTCTTTGTTGGCGCATGCTGAGTGCGATGGTGCTGAGTCCTGTTGGACTGTCCAAGGTCTGCGGCTAAAATGTTTGCATGCCCAAGGCTTTAATATACCCTCCAGAATATTTTCGCAATAATATTTTCATTGCAGAATTATGCGGCCCTAATTATGTCTGATCTAATTAATTATTTCCTGTTTATGGTTGTTACAAAAAATTAATTTATTTGCCTAACCTGTTAGTGAAGATTTCTTGGTCCCGAGGTCCTGCATTCTACATAAGACATTTTTGTAGTAAAATTGGTCATTTGGTTTCAATTGCAATGTTAAGGATTTACTTAGGTAATCAGAAAAATTTTGATCTGTTTAAAGCAGGGCCAAGCAAAGGCAAGGGTGCCTTCAATTAGCCTAATTTTCTCTACTCTCACAATCAGTCACAGTGTTACCGCCAAAAAATTTCAAAAAGTGACACAAAAAAGTTATTTTCTTAAAAAAAGACAAAAAAGCCAGCACAGTAGTCAATTTTTGAAAAAAAAATCGAAGATATTTGTTTTAAGTATTTTTTTTTTTTCGAAGTAAAGCATAAAAAACAATCGAAAATTCATGTCTGTATTTTTGTTTTTCAAGTTGGTCACTTGGATTTAATACCCCTATTTCATCACCTAGTATATTTAGAGTTGATAACATGGGCAGTTTTAAAAGCTCGCGTTCTTGGCTGCTGATCATATTCTGTAAAACTTTTGAAAATAATTAATAATTTGTTATTGAATAACCTCTCTACACCATCGGATATTTAGGGTGAGATGAATAAACTGCAACCAACTTCAGACTGCTGTCATTTCTAAGCCACTCGTCCGATGGCTGTTAAAATTATTCCAGTGACAGCTCAATATATTGTTCACAAGCGTACAAAAGCATCTTGGTGAGAATTTTCCAGAAAAAATGTTATTCGTGATGGAATATAAGCGTGATAGTGTGATTTCTTTATATTTGGCTGAAAAACCACAAGTGGCTATCGTTAGAGCTCTGCAGCATTTAAATGTGAATAAATCTTTTGTGTCTCGTACCATCGCTCGTTACCGTGATACTGGTAGCGTTGCCCGACGTCAAGGAAGTGGACGGAAGAAAACAGCAACATCAGCAGAAATGGTTCGAAATGTAAAGAAGCGACTTGATCGAAACCCGCATAGCAGTGGATGAAAAATCGCTCATGAGCTGAACATGTCGTAATATTCCATTCGGCAAATTTTGAAAAATGAGCTCGGGGTAAAACCATTGAAATTCCAAAAAGTGCAAGGACTTACACCGCAACAGATAGAAAATAGACTCAAAAGAGCTAAAGATTTGCTTGGCCGAAAGTAGTGATCTGCCGAATTTGAGTTTCTCCGATGAGAAAACATTCGTTGTCCAGCAGTTTGTAAACAAACAAATTGATCGTGTTTACTTGCCCAAAAGGTCAGCTGAAAATGTGCACCTTCGGTCGGCCACCAGAACCCAAGCGCCGGCCATGGTGATTTTGTGGGCCGCCATAACAGCCGATGGTCGCTCTCCGCTCGTATTAATCGACCGTGACATTAGAATAAATGCCGAATATTTTCACGAAAATATTCCGAAGGGTGTATTAAAGCCATGGGCATGCTAACATTTTGGCCGCAGACCTTGGATATTCCACAGGACTCAGCCACCCAAGAATGGTTACAAAAATGAGGTTCCTCGCTTCATTTCCAGAGCACAATGGCCACCAAAATCTCCGGATACCAATCCGTTGGACTATTGTGTCTGGTGTATTTTGGAAGCATGGTTGGCACTAAAAAATACCAAAGTGTCAATCACCTCAAGTAAGTTCTTCCCCAGGAATGGTCCAAAATACCGCAGAGCACCATTGGGGCAGCATGTGACGGTTTCATTGGCCGTTTGAAGGTCATAATTTGTGCCGGAGGTGACCAATTCGAACAAATATAAACTTATTCTAAAATGTGATGCAATTTCCGACATGTTTTGCTTTCATTCAATAAAATTTAAAAAAAAAATGTAAAAATTATGGCGTTCGACTTTGTTGATTTTTTTATCTCACCCTGTGTATGAGAGTTATAGCTATATCTGTTCCGATTTCGATCAAATATGGCATTCTTATTTCCGGGCTTAGTTTGGTCGTATATTCAATACTATTTGGGCTGACATTACACGCTTGGTGTACAATAAAAGGTAAATCGGACGAAGATATATATGGGAGCTACATCATAAATTTTGACCTATTCAGGCATGTCACAGAATGTAAAATCGTTCAAGAGTGAAAACGAAAACGGTTTTAGCTTCTCTAAAAAACGGAAAACGCAAAAATTTTGCGTTTTGATATCACTTTCAAAAAGCAGGGTGAAATTGAAATGTTTAGTGATTTTAATGTAAAAAATTAACAGAAGACACATACATTTAACAGAAAATATTGTATTAACCAAATTCTCTTAGAATGAACTTGTTTTTGGAATTTATTTCACAAAAAATCTATTATTTTTCTAATCCATGATGAAAACGCAAAAAAATATGCAGAAATGAACGGCAGACTTGTATTGTTGAATTATTGCCATATGTGTTGAAGAAGAAGGTGTAGAAATGTACAACTGACAGACCAAAAAGCAATGTCCCTTTTCTATTATAAAAAAGGGATTCGTCTTCGGAAGGTTTAACCATTCTAACGTGAGTTCCGTCAATGCATCCTACAATTCCTGGAATTTCATAATTTTCAAAAAAGTACAATTTCGACTATCTTTTTTCTTCGGAAGACATTCTTAATTTGATCCAATGTGGACAAATTTCAGCTTCAATTGCCTTAATAACTCTCCACATAATTGTAGAAACTGTACTTCTCCCAAGGCTTAGCTCCACATCTCTACCTACAACTCCTTGAAATGCACCCGTAGCCAAAAACCTAAGCGTTGTTGCAAGCTGGATAATAGCCGGTATATTGGAACGTTTGAGGTGGGGAGAAATTTTTTCCAAAACTAAAACAAAAGCTTCTTTATTTAGCCGATAATAAGTTATAAATCTGTAGAAATAAATTATTATTAAAATAAATTTGAAAATAACTCATTGCTGGTGGAGCCTTACTCTGCATTTGAGTGAGATAAAGGATCTGATGCGTTCCTCAATGTCCGGCGACGAATTTTTCAGTAGACCGCTGATTTATTTCTTCATCAGCAAGTATTGAAGCCCCTGGCATTTTTACTTTTGGTGTTTATATTATAAAAAACAATTTAAACTCCTTTTTTAATTGTCAATAATTTGTTTACGACTTTTTTTTCATGGAGTTACCATATTTTTATTTCAAAAATGTGAAATGATTTTTTTTCCGGATTAGTCAAAACGTACCAGTGCTGAAGAAGCAAAAGCAAATCGTAACGATTTGGAAAAGGTGAAATAAATCGATTTCGTAAAATTTCTGTGACATGCCTGATTATCTTCAATTTAAATAGGGTTTGTCATTGGGTCAAAGAAATTAATTGTACAAAATTTCATCTGGATCGGGCAATAAATGCGACCTGTCCATCTTTTACAAATCTACATGGACAGACGGACAAGCATAAATCGACTCAGAATGTGATTCTATGCAGATCATCAAAAGGAACTATGGGTCTATCTCGCTTCCTTTTGCCTGTTACAAACAAATGCACAAAGATATAATATCCGGACCACCATGTGGTGTAGGGTATAAAAGAATATAATACAAATATGTTTGCAAAAGGTAACTTCTTAATTCGACCATGGGTGTCGCTATATGAGGCATGTATCATAAAAATTTGGGAGGTTTAGGGTTGTTGCGGGATCTCAGACAAATATTTCGAGGTTATACAAACTTTCATAAAAAAAAACTTTATAAGAATTACAGTTGTTATAAAAATTTGCATTTTCCTTTTTTCTAAATTGTTTAATTTCGCTCATAGCATATAGTATATTATACAACCTATATAATAAAAATTGTGTATAATACTTATCCTCTGCATTAATTATTTTGAGATCAATTATACCATGTTTACATGTCAGTTCATTTACATAATTTTTCATTAATTCAAAACATTTTTTAAATGCATATTATTTCAAATTTAAGATTTCTTAACAGATGACTTGGAGTAGACGATATTCGAAAAATGCAATTATTAATTATTAAATTCTAAACGACACGTAAATACGGTATAGTATTCAGCTATTAAAAAACAATTATTTAATTTCATATTTTTTTGCATTTTTATTTATTTATATATATTCTTTCAACGTTTCAGTTATTATTTCAAATGTTCAAATATATGTATATATGTTTTAGACGATTTATAATATACGAGAGAGAGAGGAGAGGGAGAGAGGTTGGTTATCAATTTTCTGAAGTAATATGTGTATGTACTCAATATATGTATGTATGTATGCATTTTGTTTTTTAGTTAGTTGTAATAATATCTATTCGCTAAATTGTTTATCTTCTTAAATATTTAGGCTATATAATTAATTTACACAGTATATAAATATGTATGTTATTGTATATAATGACATTATAATGCATAATTCAATGTAGATTTTTTTTTGCATTTATATAAATTGATTTTACTACAAAATTTCCATAAATAATGCATAATACATACGATGATGGACCTAACAATGTTTGCTTGGCTTAGGCAAATATTTATAAATAGAGTAATGCAGTGTATAACAAGTTTGAAAATGTTTAAAAAAAGGGAAAATGGAAACAAAATAGTTATGTCCAATGATTTATAAAATTATTAAAAAGAATTGAAAATGTTTAATTTTGTTTTAACTAGCATGCAAAGTTCATAAAAAAAAATTTTATTTATGGAAAATCACAAAATACGATTTCCATATTATCAATTAGTATCAGACTATTTTTAGCTTAGAGATATAAAATATATATATTTTTTTTTTCATATATTTTAGTAATTTTTAAAACTTTTTTTAGATATTTAAAATTGAAACAAATAAATTAAAAAAAATATATATATATTTTAGTAATTTTTAAAAATTTTAGAGTTTGAATTGTTTAAATAACGAATCTTTTGTAACAGTTTGAGTAATTGAGTTAGTAAAACTTAATTTAAAACCTTAAAACTATACTTTACATTATTTGAAAACAAGAAATGTGATTTAAAATCGAGCCAAGTTTAAAAAATATGCAGACTAGTTCACGTAAAAGGTTTCCATAGGTGGTTAAAGTAATTCTTCCTACAGATTACCGGTAGGTAAAAAGTAATTTTTCTATGAATTTTTTCTCTGCAGGAATATTCTCCTTTAGTGGAAGACCTGCCAAAGTCTTCTACATATAGACAGTCGTCTAATTTTATATATGGATAATCCCAACAATATTTTTAATTCATAGGAACTGAGCAAAAGTTGTTTTTTTCTCATTTTTACACCTATATATCGATTTATCTATAGAAGATCTTCTCACAATAATAGATCCATGACAAGTAAAAAAGCAGTTTGAATACCCTTCACCATTTCGAAAGAGTTTGGAAATTTTCAAAAAAAAAAAAAAATAAAAATAAATAAATAAATGAATAAAATCAAAACCGTTAAAAATTCTGTTAGAATCTTAGAAGTTTCGAATATTGCCGTTATATTGAGGTCTGGACGAAGACGTCTACAGGTCGACGGCAACTTTGGTCATTACGATATTCAAATACGAAATTTGAAAAGAATAATGTAGTTAAAAACATCAAAATAACGATTATAGGGAGGTACCGTCATATCGGAGCTATTAAGAACTTCAAATTCGAAATTTAAAACAATTCCGGTGATATTAGTACCTTAAATTGGAAAAAATGACGAATATAGGGAGGTACCGTTATATCGGGGCCATACGAAGACCTTCATAGACAATTTTCCGGTACAGGCTGTAATATCTATTAGGAACTTCAAATACGAAATATCAAGCAATTTCGTAAAATATTGTACATTAAATTGTCAAAATACCGAATATAGGGAGGTACTGATATATGCGACCTATACGAAGAACTGGACCTTCATAGACAATTTTCTGGCATAGACTGTAGTTCCCATTACGGACCCTAAATACGAAATTTCAAAATACCGAATGTCGGGGGCGTACCGTTGTATGTAGGCTATACGATATCGTGGATCTATAAAAACCTTTCTCTTCCAGGGGGTAAAGTGCTTGGAAGGAACTGCTAGTATAGATTTTTAGACAATTCCATTAAAAAATGTAGCGAAAGTCAGCAAAATAGAGAATATAGGGAGGTACCGTTATATCCCTCATATAACATACGATATCGTGGGCATATATAGACAATACTCTTCCAAGGGTAAAGTACTCGGAAGGAACACCTTTTGTGGATTTTCAGACAATTTCATTGAAAAATTTGGGAACAATCATCAAAATAACAAATATTTGGGGGTATCGTTATATGGAGGCTATACGATATCGTGGACCTAGATAGCACTCTTCCAGGTAGTAAAGTACTCAGAGAGAACTCCTTATGCGGATTTTCAGCCAATTTCATTGAAAAATGTAGCTAAAGTCATCAAAACACCGAATATAGGGAGGTACCGTTATATGGCGGCCATACGATATCGTGGACTTATACAGTCCATCTTCGAACTTGATCTGCCTGAAGACAAAATACTGATTTATGCAAAATTTCAGCTTCCTATCTTTATTCGTTTTGACTCTAGCGTGATTTCAACAGACCTATGGACGGACAGGGCTAAATAGTCTTAGAATTTTAAGCTAACCAAGAATATATATACATTGTTATGCCTAAAATTATTATTTCGATGAGTTACAAACGGAATGACGAACTTAATATGCCCTCCATACTATGTATGTTGGAGGGTATAAAAAACGCTTCTATCTACGGAGGACTATCTATGACAAAACGTGTTCTATTGAAGTCTTATCACTAACAAAAACCTGTAGAAGGTCTTGCTTCATAGACGACCTGTAAAAAAACTAATAGGAAACATTTTAAAATCCAAATAGGAAACACTTTAAAATAATAGGAAACATTTTAAAATCCTCTTTCTGTAGAAGTATGGGGAAAGTTATGCTATGTATGGATATAATATAAAAGATGGATCTGTCGAAGATCTTTAATCTATAAATTTTTAACAAATATTCTGTGGTAAAAGTTCTGTATAGGGAAATTATTAAAAAATGTTACCTTTATAAGAAGACCTGATGAAAGGTAGAAGGTGTGAAGGTTTAATTTCGATTCGTTTTAGATGTATTTGTCTTTAATGGTTTCAATGATATTTCTTTGGCAGAATTCTCTTGTAAAATTGTAATCTTAAAATATGGTCACAATTGTAAATAAAAAGTTTTCTAAAATCTGATATATAAAAATTAGGCTTATGCTCAAACTGTTTATAATTGTAGCTTTGACTTGGACCAAAAGACTTCTAAAAGAACCGCCAAGTAGGTGAAAATGGGATCATGAACCTTTTTCCTCAGACTTGCTATTGGATGGAAGTGTAGGCAGACTTTAAATAAGCTGTTCATAAGAAATGAATTATATTTTCTGGACATTTTCCAACCATTTTCCAAGAATGTCATAAAAGTATTGAGTGTAAAAAAAAATATTAAAAATAAATTCAAATATAAATTTTATAAATCATTGGACATAAAATAATTGGTTTACAAACAAATTTGTTTATAACAAAGAAGAAGGAAAAACTTAACAAGTTTTTATTTTTAAGGTATTTAATTATGTACCATGCATGCATACAGTTTACAGTTTCAAGCAATATATTATTAATGGCTTTTTTTAATTCATTATGGATATTTCAGTATTTCAGTTTATAGATTTATTTTTTTGTTGATATTTTTTTATTTAGAAATGTTCTTAACATTAATTTTTTTTAATGCTGTTGCTGTTGTTAGTTTGATAATAATTTATAATATTTGTTAATAGAAAAACGACATGGTACGCGATAATATTTGTTCTATATTCTTTGTACAATTTAAGGCATATTACATTGTGATTTATTTTTAATTTTTAAATCTATAAAACATTTTAATAAAAAAAACGGATTACATACTAAAAGGTTTCAAAAGAAGGGGTAGGTAAATCATATTTACAGATCACTAAAAAAATTATAAAAATATGATTATATACATTATATTTATTTTATGTATGTATATATTTTTATTCCTAGCAGAAATAACAATCAACAAAATATCTTAAAAAAAAACAAACAAAAAAAGGGAAGAGTTTTAATAATTTGATTTTTTCTTTTCTTGGAAAAATAATGCACACAATGATTATGATGATGTTGTTTTTTTGCTTTTGTTGTCGATGACGATGTTTTTTTTTGTTGTATAAAAATATTTTAAGAAATAA